TAATCACATGATTAAGGGAAGCCATTTAGCCATGTCAAAAGCGTTTAGCATAAAGTATACTTCGAAACTTGTTGGTACCATCTTCGTTCCTCGAAATAGAAGAGCATATTATTTTTGTTGACCTGAAATAAATAATACTAATAAAGAAAAGATTCCTCTTTGTAATAGTTTAAGCTTTTAATAAGGCAGTCACACAATTCAAGATGGTAGCATAGTACGCAGACGTCCTGGGTTTGACCTCCATCCATCAGCAAATAAAATATTCAAGAAAAACAATCAGAATAGAGGGCATAGTGGTAACCTTGATAAATAAATAACTAAATGAAAAAGTCTTACTTCTAATGACTTAAGCTTTTAAACGAGCTGGTCAGTGGTCAATACAGTCAACAGCTTTGAAGCATTATTCTTACAAAATATGCTTCACCAAAGAACTTGATTTCTGCTTGTTAATGTGCATGGCAGTTATATGTTCTCTTCACTTCAGAGTTCATTGTGTGCGAAACATAGATAGAACGTAATTTTAGTTCTGAATTCACTAGCTGTAGTTTGATTACTTCTTTCTTTTTCTTGTCACACTCAAACAACTCCTGATTTGCACTTTATAAGATGGAGCCAATATGGTTGATACTTGATGGAAAGTTTCTTTTACTGAATTGGTAGCCTTCTTCTGGAAGCAAATGCAAAGCTTGGAGTTGTTGTTTGATTTAGAATTCGCAAAAATTTTACTGATAATAAATGGAATATGCAAAAACTTTTTGCCTGGTCTTCCATGATGTTGAAATTTTGAGGCCTGCCGAACTTCTTTGATATCATAGAGCTCCTCTTAAATGATACTTCAATCAATCACTATGGTTCGGCGATGTGAATCCTCTATGTATGTTACTTATCTAAAAAAGAAAGAAGGGGCAGTGCTATATGTTAATGTAATGTTACAATTAACAAGTACTAGCATGTTTCTTATATAGCTCCACTTTGTTACCTCATCCAAGCCTTTCTTGGTTCTGATATTGCCTTCAGATTCGACAATTAGCACAGGACATTCGGGAGATGAGCATATCAAATCCAATTACTATTTATAAGGATTCTTCCTCCAGTGGTATGTTTTTGTCTTTTTATGTTCATTTTAAATTGTGTTACCCATCTTACTGCAAATGCTGAATTCTCTAGAATGGTGATCTGTAACTTCTTAAATGTACCCTGATGGTTAAGTTTTGAATTATGAAACTACGGTTCCTGTTTTCAACATGAAAAGTGGACGTTCTTTAGGCCCTGTTTGTTTGTAGTCTTCCTTAGTCAAGAGGAATATTTCCTTACATTTTTGTTTCCTTTTCTTCAATATTGCTCTTTTATCACGTACCAAAGAGCACACCTGCCCCAGTTGGGGCTAGAATACTAGGAATATAAATACCCTACTTGTCCTTTATGGACGATCCAGTTGAAATAGAGCTGACATGGTTATGGGCCTTTGTTTTTTTAGGGAGCTATGCTTCTTACATTCTTCCAGCTGCGGCAGTTGGGGCGATGGGATATTGTTACATGAAGTGGAAGGCAAGTATTCACTGCTGCAGTTTGTATCTATTGGCACCCCAAGGATTTATTTTTGAGTTTTGTTACATTCTTTATATAGTTGTTATAAATCACATGTGCTCTTGCTAATCTTCCACAGGGTTGGTCATTTTCTGATGTAATGTATGTCACAAAGCATAATATGGCGAATGCTGTTGCATCTGTGTCTAAGCAGTTGGAGAATATATCTGAGGCATTGGCTGTGAGTCAAGGATTTGTCAACAATTTCGTGGATGATCTGTGTTATATATGCTAACAGCTGTTCTCATTCTTCTTTCACTTCTATTTCTTTTGTAGTCTACAAAAAGAAATCTGACGAAGAGGCTGGAAAACTTAGACTGGAAGCTAGATGAGCAAATTGAGACATCAAAACTTATTACTAATGATGTAAGGAGAACAGCATTTCTTCCCATTCTCCTTTTAACGTTGAAGTATTAGGATGGATTCTTTCATCTTATGGGTAAAGTAGTTTTGCGTAATTCCTGTTTTCTCACCAACATGCCAAAGGTAAAAAGATATTAGGTTCTCTCTCGGTTGTAGTGAAGAATTTTTTTTGAGGGGAATGAGGTAAGAATCAACTCCTTTGTAAAACTTGAGAGACGTATAACAGAAAATTACTGGGAGAAACTTGCCATAAGACCTGAACTTTGTTGGTTGTATGTCAAAATAGAGATCACAGATTAACTATCACCGGCAACTTGCGTGAATATCTTAGTAATAGATTTTATGTATCGAGGCACGAGGAGACTTTGTTTGTCAATGCTCAACATCAGATGTTTCTTTATGCAGGTGAGTGACGTTAAGGCTAATCTGAATCAAATTGGTTTTGATATAAACTTAATCTATGAGATGGTGTCTGGACTGGTAAGTACATTGCTTGACAAATTGTATCAATATGGTAGTGCTAGCAAAAAATCTGCTGGCAAGTCATTTTGTAATTTTTCAGTTGTTGCTTAAATTTGGCAGGAAGGGAAGATTGAGCTTCTTGAGAGTAACCAGGTGAATATCTGAATGTGTTTGTAACATGCTATTTGCCCCTTTTCCTATGCTCTGTCTATCGTTATTGCAGTTGCTTTACAAGTTGTGCTTGTTTATTTTTCCCCACCCCACAGGATGTGACTAATTCTGGTTTGTGGTACTTGTGCCAAGTTGCTGGGGGCATTAAGGATGATCAAAATCCTAAAGTTATTCAGGTATTTTTTGTGTTCATATATGAAAGCCTTTTGACTATTGTTGTTCTTCCTCTTTGTTCTCTTTCTTCCTCCCACAAGGAAAACAAGGAGCATCTTGAGGCTTTTCTTGTCTTTTCTCCATTGCGTTTTGAATGCTTGCTTGCATGTTTCTATCGCATTTTGAATCAGTGTTTGCATTTCCGATTACTGTTGTGATCTCTGGTTATCACTGTGTCTTTTCCATTCTGCCGACCATTGACTTTCTCCTTTGGTGCTTGGCGAATTATCCTATTAGATTACTCGAAAGGACTTTGTAATTGACCTAAACCATAAAGACATGTAATTATGCTGCTGCTAAGAAAAACTTTGGCGTCTTTGCATGATATCAGATGTTATTGGTTGTAATAAAAACACGATCTCTTGGAAATTTTTGATGTTTGTTACTCCTACTTTTTGCTGGCTATGCATTAAAATAGAACTGCAGTTTTGCTGTCTCTTTCTTTGTGGGAAAATATTCCATTTGCCCTTCATTGTTCCTATTTGTTCAAAATGTAAACATGTATTCTTATTTTGGCAATTGGAATTCCGGAAAGGGCATCGAGGCTAAGCTGATAGAGCATTCAAAGGTGACTCCCAAGGAAAACTGGGTGAAGGTACATTGACTCTGTCGAACCTAATTAACTGGGTTTGGTTGTCCATTCAATGGTTCACAAGGTCTAATCAAACGATTTATTATAATTCAGGGGCTTGAGTTCATTGCTGAATCTAATGAATCAAGTGTGCCACCAAAATCGGTTACTGATACAGAAGGAAAATTTCTTAGTGACAATTCTGCTAAAGGTCCAGTTGCTAGCAAAATGAGGATTCACAGGTCTTATCCTGTTGGGTTGTCTTTAACAAGGAACGTGTTGGGTCCAGGATTCTGATCTCAGCTTTTCCTCTATTCACAGTTAGATTACTTGGATGTGATTACCCAATTCATTTCGTTTATATTGATCCACAGCTGGTTTATTTGTGCGCCTGTGGTCGCCGACAACATCATATATACACGGTTGTCTTGTTTGTGCTTTTTTCCCCCCTTCCTTTTGAAGGTCGTATAAAGCTGTATTTGTAAAAATATAATAAATGCATTTCATTTTGGTCATAGATGGTTGTCTTGTTTGTTCTTTTCTTTTTCTTCCTTTTAAATGTCGTATAAAGCTGTATTTGTAAAAATATAACAAATGTATGTCATTTTGGTCATAGATTTGGTGCCGGAATGTAGGGGATAAACTTTGTAAAACTGTGCTAAAAACTTGCTTGGATAGCCTGGCCATAAGAATTCCAGGGAAACCGAATATGTATTTTGTTTGCACTTCTTTGGAGTATGTTTTTAATCCTATGAATTTGAATACATAGAATCAATTTGCTCATCCAAAAAAGGCCCTTAAAGATTTCAATTTGCAACTTTACAGTTCAAGAAATATGTGTTAAAGAATTAAATGCACCACTATTGAAAATCCAAAGGTCGTAGTCCTCGTCACAAAGCATATAAAGAAAATAGACCTCGACGTTGCTTAAACCACTAGGCCAAGATAGAGAATGGATAATGAACACTCAAATCATCAGATTGACGCATATCGTCTTCCCCAACTAATTTGGGATGATACCGTAGTTGTAATCTAGCGCAAATATTAACAATCACCAAAAGGCTAAGTTCGGCCAAAAAAACAACAAAAATGTCCCAAATTCTCAATCGATGGTACAAGTACATTTGATACATTCTTGGATAGCTCATCCGTCCCTTCTTCTTACTTTGCAACATCTCGCAAAATCAAGTCGAGAAGAAAGAACAACACTATTCCGAGAAAAAACAAATCTAAGATCTCCAAACGGTCCGAAGAAATTGAAACATTGCCTCCTGAAACTATCTCTTCTTTTTACCCCCCTTCCCAGATTTTGAAGAACCAGCTGCAGAAGAGGATGCAGGCTCCTGCTTCTTAGTCCTATTAGGATGTCTCCGGACCAACTCTGCAACATGGATCATCAGTTGTTTCCCTGCAATATACAACCCCAGAAGTATTAAAGCTGGTTCAAATAAGCTTTCACAAAACCAAATTACAGGAACAGAACTAGAAAAAACAAGGAAATATCCTCAAATACCACAAACATCAATCAAAGCTGGCTGTATCACATGTACTTTTTCTGACGAGCACAACCGTGCTAGTAACGTTACTTGATTTCTTTCAAAACACAATGACATCTGTCATAATTGAAAACAACCTCCATACGTGCACAATGCCTCACATAACTAGAGGATGTCAATTATTTTAGATAAGCCAAAAAGTTTCATGAATAAAAAACCGAGTTGATATCAAGGAAAAAAGAAAGAAAGAAAAAGAACATGTACAAGAAGTGCATGTGGCTCTCAATTGAATCCATCCAAAAATATTTTATACAAGTAGGAGTTGCTAGGATACTCCCTTAGGATAAAAGGTTATTATATATTTCTCATGTTTTCACATTGAAATACTTTAAATGCTTGAGACCCGAATTACCCCAGTATCACAGAAGCTCCTTCACATCCAATTTAGAATCTTAAGCCAAAAATTAAGCATTTCCCATTTTCTGGCAGGGAAAAACCGTCCAACAATTGTTATCCTGCTGATGTGTGCAATAGCATAAATACCCAAACTGCAGTAGAAAAGATCAATAAAATCTCAAATAGCGCAGACGTATCTCGTAGAGCTTTGTCAGAGAAGATTTCATTTCTCGATTCTGCAGTAGGTTTGAAATGAATTAAACATGCCCTTATCTATTTGAGGTTCGAATACACCTCTATTTCCCCACTTCCACTTCTCGTATCACATACCAATACTTGCAGCATAGTTTCTAGTTAATCCAGCGTTTTCTGCCGAACAAAGACATCGAAACCACCGTCTCCATTCTCTGAAGGGGAAAAACTATGATGCTAAGTTGTCATAGACTGATTGAGCTTGTCCTTTAGTTAAGTATTGATACATTAGCAATTTTACTGAAACTAGACCCTGTTTACTATCCTCAATTTCATGGAAATCCAATGACACAAATCCTGATATACACTCACAACACACTTTTGTTCATCCTCCTACTTATATGGACTTCTCACAATACGGCTTCCCACAGATACCCTTCACAGCCATGTTTATCCTCATGCAAAGGAAAACCAATCCTACTGAGGATCTAATTTCTTCTGTTTGCGTTTGTAAAAACTTGGTGTATACGAATGACATTCCTCACTATTTTTCTTGTAATAAAAGAAAAAACTTAACCTGGAAAAAGAACCATTTCTATTCCAACTTTCCTCCTCTATAGAAGAAAGGAATCCATCAACCAAATCTTGATAACCATTTCCCAACGAGGGCCTTATAGAAAGTGAATACATCCCAACTCCAAATTTCTATCCTTAATGAACACCTGGCAGAGAAAGCATATACTCCTATTCAAGATGTTTCCAAGACCCTCCTACAAAATCATAGTCTACGACTTTCTATATAGAGTTGCCAAAGATAACATCAATTGTGAATGGTGGCTATAGCTTCACAAGAATGGTATATAGAACACTTTTAGGCCATAGATTAATGATGTTCACTTCCCAATTATCATAAATGTTTAAAATTGCTTTTTTATCCATAGGACTTTCTTCCACAATTTAAGAGCATAGAAAACCGACTACTCATTCCATGTCAAACAAACAAGCAGATTGTTAAAGCTTAAAGAAAGCTCAAAAAAAAGTATGAAGTTACTCAACATGTTGTGAAACTATAATGCTTTGCCAAAGTTTTTAACAAGATAAGAGGACAGAACAATGGCTAAAAAAGAACCTACGGGAAGAAATGGCAGGATTGTAAAGGGTTCCATCTTCCTGCTTCAACAAAACTCTCACTCTTCCTCTTTGCATAAAATCTCGCGGATATGCCTTATCAAGCTGTTACAACAGATCAGGAATATAATTACAAACAAATTCTTTCTCATACTTATAAGTTCACTGATTCAAAAGTTTAGAAAACATTAATAAAAACAATATACAATTGCCATCTTTTTTTTTTCTTAATGGCACGTCTCATCCTTATAGGACCAAGGGTGCTCGACATATCACCACAATTAACTTCTTTCTCATAAGTAACAAGAACACTTTGTTTTTAAACAATGAAAATGCTATATTTATTCAGAAATTTGCTTCCACGAGTAAATTTTCACCCAACCAACCATCCGGTGATGAACGCCTTTACTGGGGTTCGGGGGATTTGGTAAACTAAGTTAGAGTCAGTTAATTCCAGCTGTTATTTAAACTCCATTCCCTGAACATCCCCCCCACTCTGTCTTCTGTTGCCCTAATGAAAAAAAGTTGAAAACTTGTAACAAAAAAACCAAATAATTCATATAAGTGATTATGAAGTATTATACTAGTTGCAATTAAGACTGTTGTTATTATTACACTTACATTCGTTCTGGTATTTGCCAGTCATATTGGTCTGGTTATGTGTCTGTATGTTTGTGTAGAAATGCGGCCTTAAAAGATGAATTATTTTAGTAATCCAATAAAATAAGTCTGCTTAGGGCAGATAAATACAGAAGATTCATATCACCAACCCAACTATCTTAGGATCAAGGCATAGTTGAGTGATTGTTACATATATATCTTCTGTTTCCTAATTATCTACGTACAACCAATTATACACTCAAACACGTCGAAGACATAATTCAATAAATAAAAACATGCACTCTCTAACAGCTTAACCTTTTAGATGAGATTATCACACATCCCAATAAAACATAAATATACCGATACACATAATCATACAAATTATATAAACAATGAAACAAGCGAAAGATCGACGAAGAAACAAACCTCGATAGCACAAGGGATTTTGAGGTAGTTGCAGCAATCACTAATCTCGGTAACAGTAGGGTTTTCACATGCTTTTGTCACGCAAATTCTCCTTCCTTCAGCTATTGTCTTCTTTGAATTTATATAAATTGGATACATTATGTTCCACTTCTTGATATTCTTAATTTCACTATCCATCTTTCTGATCTCTACCAAAAAAGCACCAAAAAATTAGAATATTCTTTAAAAAAGGGGTAAATTTAATTATGATTAAGAACAGTATTTACCGTAAAATTGATTGAAATTGGATTGGAATTAAGGAGAAAAGAATGTACCTTGATAAAGGAGAGAATTGAAGATTGAAACTTTTGATCGGATCGAATGAGAACGGGGATTTGCAGAATTCGGTTTTGGTTTGGTGAACTGGGCTGAGTTTTAGGGCTTTTTCTTTTTTTTTAACAGAAATGATGGAATTTGGGCCTTTTATTTGAAGTCCAATTGTTTGATGTAGTCCAACTCTGTTTTAAGGGTGAGGTGTATACCGTCCCGTTTATTTCGGAAGGGAGGTCAAATTTGCTGTACTAATCCTGGATAAATTTTTACTGTAATATTATCTCGATATTAGGAAAAAATAAAAAACAATCCCTTAAACATTAATAGAGTAAACATGAAGGTAATTTTAAATCATAAACAGTAGTTGATGGGTAAATTTGGACCTTGTTCTAGAAGGATTTAGACGTGTTAAATTACCTATATCGCGTTAGAGATCCATTAATAACAACAAAAAATACGAAACCATTTTCTTGTGACAAAGGATATGAATGGACTTAAAAGTGTAGCGGAAGTTGAAATTAAGCAATTTTGGATAGAACAAAGGTCCAACTAAGTTGCAAATAGCAATAGCCAAGATATCATTACAGTTCAAGTACGTAAGACTATAGTTTTGAATTATCTCGATATTAGACGGAAAAAAAAAATATTCCTTTAACTATTAATGGAGTTTTAACGTGAAGGTAATTTTAAACTATAATATGGGTAAATTTAGATCTCTTTCTAGAAATTTGGATGCGTGAAATTTATCTATTTTACGCTGAAATTCCATTAATAGCCAAACAAAATATGATGTAATTTGTTAACACCAAGGATATGAACGCACTAAAAGTATAATGAGCTTAAAGTTAAGCAACTTCAGATAGTGTAGGAACAAATTTAGACGTTTTCCCCAAGGTTAGAAAAAATTGGCCTAATTTTTTCCAGTTATTTAGTAACACGATATTATTATGATTCAAACTGGCGAGAATACAGTTTTGATTATGATCCCTTTACTGTTGAGGTCATTTTCTTGGAATTATTATTATGTGTACATACAAACAAAAACTTTCTTATAGTAAATTTTGTTCAAACAATATTTCTTAATCCAAATTAAGTGAGATGGCGATATGATATAGTTAAATATCTTTGGTTACTACTTATAACTAACAATCTTTTGTGTAAAATAATAAAGGGACAAGTACCCATTCGAGTCCTTTGATTGTTTTCCAAGTTGCTAGTTCTAACACCCAAGTTGTCACATATTTAGAAACTTTACCTTTCGAGCAAATCAAGTTGATCAACCCAACTTCGTTTTGAAGGGTTGTTTCAAGGGATGGGAAGCTAAAAATGATGGAAAATGATGTTAGTATAATCGCTCTCAAAATAGAGTTTTTTTCNGTATATATATATATATATTGGCTATTATTTTGAGAGCAGCTACACAGTATCATTTTTCCATGAGTGTATGGGTCGTGTGGTTTTTAGACCAATTATACCAGAATTATAATACTATAATTAATAATCCCTGAATGAATTCCTATCAAATGAAAAGGCTTTCGAAAAACTTCTCGCAGAATTCAGAATGAAAAACACTTCAGCAACCTTTTAAACTTATTTTCTTAATTATTGAATTGAAGCAGTATAAAAAATTAACTGAAGCGTCTATTCACGACCAAGGTTGTTAGTTTTCATAGTTATAAGAATTTGATTAAGTTGGTGTACATACTTTAGTGTACCACTTGTCTAACTTATGTTTTTGCATGAATATCTCAATGTTCAAGATAAAAGTAACGAGGAGAAAAATCACCTTAGAAAATGAAATATAACGTGTATAATTAAAAGATGTGTTTGGCTATTGTCATTGTTTCATCAGGCCAGCCGCCAACTCCACTTTGCCATGAGACTAATGATTAACACAATTATTAAAAAAATCAAGATTCATAATCAGCCAACATTTTTAGAAATAAATAGGTTGACTATAAAAATATATTACCCAAAATGCCAGCTTTCCCATTATCATAATAACCTGTCAGTGATGCGGTGACGCACTAATTAAAGCTAAACCACTTTGATTATTTATAATTAACTACCGACCTATTCAATTAAATGGATCTTAATATTGTAGTTACGTCACAAATTTCCCAGGTAATATTTACTCTATAATATTAAAAATTAAATTTCATCGCAATCATTCATAAAACAATGATATCACGTTTCGAAATTTTATTTCAGTAGTCAAGTTGATATATATTAGTAGAATAATACTAACAGATAAGTATGGATTTTATAGACTTCTTCAATTGAAATAGCAAAACATTATTAGTATAAAGTAAGACTTCCAAAATAGAGGGAGGGAAAAAATATCATATTATTTGTTTGTTTTTTTTTTTGTAATTGTTTTCTTCAGGAAGAAGTCAGAAGAAATTTTAATTTTGATATTTAAAAGTAGTTGGATGCCAATTTGATAACCAACATTGATTCTTTCATGGAACATATATTCTACCCCAAACCCTTGGTGGTCCTACTACTGGTAGAACTTATATAAAATAATAATATGAAATATGTTTAATATATTTTATTTGTGAATTTAAGAGAAGAGAAAAATGAATTATAAAACTTCAAGTTGCTATGCCCACTAACTCACTGTCCTTTACACAGGATCTTTCTCTTTTCTAAAAAGAAAATTATTCACAGTGCTATTTATTTAACATTTTCTTAAGTTTGCTACTAATATTTGTGTGATAACCTTCTTAAATGTAGTATTATTTAACTTTAATTAAATTCATGCCTACTTGTTAATTTATGATATTGTAACGTAATTTGATTAAGTATTTTGAGTTGTTGAAGCAAATAAAATAGGTCATATAAAAAAAATTAAACCCTACATTTTAGTCTGGTGCAGACTAAATATAACACAGAGTATTGGTTGTTACATGTTGTATTGTATTGTATTATTACAATAAATAAAATATTTATTTTGATTGTTACTTAAATTTAATTGTATCGTATTGTTAAATCAGTCGTTACATAACAATGAATAATGTCATTTTATGAAACGACCGATTTGGTTTGGTCGCGTTAGTCACCTTATTTTTTTCTCTCATCTTATCCTTCCTTATTATTAAATAATCATATTTTATCCCTTATCATACATTTTTATATAATAATTCAACCTCATATCTTTCTTTTTCTATATTACAATCACTATGATTTTTGTGTAATCGATTGGAGAGCACTTGAACTTAGAATGTAATCGATTTGAATAAAAATCTTGAAAAGAAAAATAAAATATAGAAGTATCATGTTTTGAAGGATTTACTATTCACTTTTAGTATTATTTTAATTTTTATATATGAGTATTGGGCTGGGTGAGCTAAGTCGGGTTGGCTCATCCCTATTTTAATTGAATTACTATTTATTAGACTGAAATAAGAAAATAAAAAATCATAAAACAAGAAAATACTACTGAAAAATTATATTTTTCAATCACTATGATTTTTGTGTGAGTTAGTAAAAGTTTTATAATTTTTGTATGAGAAAACATAATTATATGACTTTGGTGAAAAACAGACATAGTTATATAATTTTTGTGTGAGAAAATAAAGTTATATAACTTAGTGAAAAAAAGTCATAATTATATGACAATTTATGAAATTTACCCCGATAATGATACAAACCTTATTTTCCACCTTTGTAGTACTCCATGAAACTTTAGTTTCCTCATAATGTTAGGATATACTATTAAACGTCGAAAAGGGTTTATATTATGCTGAGAATCAAAACCTTCATTTTGTGATTAATAGGAAAAGCATAATTGTGAATTTAATCCTAAGTGTTCTGAATATCGTACCAGTAAATCTAGAGACATATATTTTGTGGTCCCAATGTGGTTTTGGAATTAGCCTATAAACCAAGACAAATAAAAGGTGGTAGGCCTCCCCTTTGAAAAAGACAAAGGAGCTGCCCTTAGAAACTGGAAATTCGTCATGGCCAACTAGTTAATTTGTTGTACAATGTGCAAATTGCAATAAAAGTATAGTAAGAAGAAAAAAAAGAGTGAAAATAACAATATTACAAATAAATATAGCCGAAAGGCCCCGGTGGAGGACACATTGAAAAAATTAGTAAATTATGTGTGAAACCCGAATTACTAGCATGTGAGGCATAAATTGACGAGAAAATAAATAAATAAATAAATAAATAAATAAGTAAATAAATAGGTATTAAGATAGTAAAATTAAGCTAGAAGTATTTGTAATATTGACGAGCTTGAAACACACACTTAAAGTATGCTCGCTAATCAAATATAGTATAGTATAATATCGTATCCACATGAATTAGATTTAAACAGTATTCTCATAGTTTCTAGCTTGATCGTTATTCAAGAAAATCAACAATTGAGGTTTATATGATTTTTAACTAAAATTAACTAAGAATCTAAAGCTATTGACTAATGACAATCGCAACAAAGGTAAGCAAGGAAGTTATTAGTGGGAGAAAATAGGGATTGATATGACAGGCTCAAGATAATTGTTTGGGATCTAACTCTAGATAATTCACTTCTAATGTTTAAGTGAGTCTCTCGAATTCACTCAATTATTAGTTCAAACGTTCAGCAAAAACTCCTCTCTCGATTAAGTCTTAACCTCACGAGATGAACCAATTTAAGCACGTGAAGATATGCAAGAATGCGTAGTGGATTGGTCTTTAGGAATACCTCTTTCAGTTATTCTCCTAACTAGGTTTAATCATTGATTCAACTAGTCTCTTTCGATTACTAAGCAGAATTAATGAATTCAACCAACAATATAATGCAAAGATATCACAAGTTATGCCTCGCTCGATTACATGAACAAGTGAATATAGATGCAGCAGTTAAATCACCCGAAAACGCTTCAATACATAAAACTAGAGTTATAATCCACAAACAATTATCAATACACTAAATCCGTCAAACCCTAAAGAGAACTACTCCATAAATATGGAGTAATTCATCACAAATAAAGTTAAAGTAGAGAAAAACATAAATTCAATCCAAACTCGGGTCTTGAGTGAACAAAGAATGATGAAATCCTTGTGCTCGTGTTCTTCCAACTCCTCCTTAGCCTCCTTAGGTCGAATATATGTCAA